CCGAATTGCTGCCAAAGCCGCGGGACCGCCGGACCTCCCGCAGGCATGCCGCCGAAGGCTCCCTCCCTGACTACCGGCCTCACGGCGACCGGTAGGCCGCCCCCCCGGGGCTTGCTGCCCCAGGCACGCACTTGGTGTGCTGGTGCCTAGAGCCGCCCCTGCCTAGGGCTCCCACTGACCTCCGTGGGACTTCTTCAGAGGGAGCCTTATGTACTTATACAGAAAGAATTGGGTTCAAATATATTTGTTTGTGTTAGGAATTTGTAATTCATAGTTTGGAGGTTTTGGCTACACTTTTATTCACAAACTGTGCAGGAAGTTTGCCCTTTGCAGGTTGTGAAATCCATATCACCACATGGTAAATGGAATACTATGTAAGACCAAAGTATAAAAGCTTTTCCCCCCCCCCCCCACTTGTGCCCTGTATCTCTATTTAAAATGTGATATTCGACCTCAGATGTAAATTGATGTTGGACATCCTTATGTCTGACATGTGAACTTGCAGACCTCATGGAGCACTTTTATTAGGTCTGTCTCTATAAAGAATTACAGTCATTCCCATCTTGAGTCAGTGTGCTGGGGCTGGACTATTTTGTTGCACTCGGCTATTATTTTGTAGAACTTAATTTTTTTTGTTAAGATAATAGGATTTATTACTAATTGGAAATGTTTCTTATTTTGTATTTTTGTTAAGCAAAAATTGGTATTTTTCTCACCGCTCTGATGATAAAATCCTTTTGCATTTGTCAAGCTGTCTGGAGTAGCTGACGAGCATGAGTGACAACCTCAGGGCAGACTGTGAGGAAGCAGGGCTCAAACCCCAAATTGGTTGGGAGTTCTACACTTAGATTTCACCAACCAAGAAGCGTGAACTCCAAGCGCTATAGCAACCTACCCATGGAGTTACAGATAGTCTCCTGGCGTAACCCAGTCTGTATTGCCACTTGGGCAAACTTGCCTTTGTGATAGATGGTCCCTTACACTAAAAAAATCACAAGCGATATTCAGGTTACGACCAGTCACTTACCTCAGGTCAATTGCACCTTAGACCTCACACCAAAAGACAATACTTGTAGCCAATCCTATAATAAGCTAACTAAAGGTTTATTAACTAAAAAAAGAAATGTTATTTACAAAGTTAAAGCAGGTGAACAAATGAGTTACCATCTTCGGTTCCAAAGGGCAATAGACGCGGCTGTGATCTGCATTCTGTGTTCTTGAGAGCTAATCCAAGCTAAGCAGCTTGAGGATCCTTTGCTTATGTGTAGAAATATTGCCCTCTCTGAATGCCAAGCACCAGAGTGATGCAGTTCCTTCTGGTCAGGGATTTTTATATCTTTCTCCCTGAGTTCAGACTCATAGGACAAGTGTTTGCGCCCATCTCTTCTTCATGGGTGGGCGTGTGAGAGGAGGACACAGTCAACAAAGTCTCTGGCCTTTTAATGTTTCACAGCGGCTTATTTGGTTTCAATGGCCCTTCTTGTGTGAAGGACCAGCACTTTACGTTAATTGATGCTGCTTTCCTGTTTGAGTTACGCAGTTAGAGATTTACATGCAAACATTCAATATAACTTTATACCATGGGATATGGAGGTTATAAGTGAGATCAGTACATCCTACAAACATTTCATCAGGTCTAAAGACATTCTTATAAACTTAACATCTCTTAACACTAACACACAGCTGAGCCGGCCCGGTTTTCAGCTGTGCATTTGTCAGGGTTCAGTGAAGCCTTGGGATGAGCTTGGCAGCATTATATATATAAAGGCCCAGTCCTGCAAAAACATATACATGCGCTTAACTTGGTGGACTGTGGGCTTGATCCTGCTGCTACTGATGTCAATGGCAATATTCTGCCATGTGAGTCATCCTAGTGCTCTCAATGAGACCAGTCAGTGTTTAAAGTTAAGCATGTGCTTAAATCTTTGCACGATTGGGGCTAAAGTTGCTTATTTTTGAATGTTGTGGTATTTTCCGTAATTACACTAGCTAGCTTCTATAGTGTGCATGCTTAAAAAGTCCATTTTAATTTTAGTGATGCTAGTAACCAAGTTTTTCATTGAAAAGTTCTTTTTTTTTTTAAAAAAAAATTCCATGCAATCTTTTGACATAGACATTCTTTTTTTCACTAAAAATGTCATGTCTTTCTAATATTTAGACTATTTAATAGAAAGTGTCAAAATAGTCAATTTTTTTCATTTGCTGAAAACCCCCTTTTTAGTAAACAATAAATGTCCATAACCTTTTTGATGATGATTTGAATAATGCTTTAGGTAAAAACTTCCGAAATTTTTAAAAAATAGTGACGGATTTTAATAAAAACAAACAATCCATTTCAAAACTCTTTCAAATTAAAAAAAGTTTGAAACTTTGAAAATGTTAGTTAAACAGCTAATATTTTGAGAGTAATTCCTGGTTCCAGTGGCATTTCCCATTTTAAAAGTCACGCCTATAGGTAGAATCTTTTACAATGGAATGAACTTTTAAAAGTGGAGTAGTCACACTTTAAAAGTCCAAGAGACAATGATATTTAAATTTTAAAAAAGAGTTTGGTTTTTTTTTGTGTGTGTGTCAAGTCTACTCTTTCTTTCAAATGAATTTTCATCATTTACAGAAATGTGATTCTGGAAATGTCAGCAGAGAAGTAACTCAGTGACCCCTTTAAACGCAGTTAATTTAAAATATTTAAATATATTTCATGCAGCAAGAATCCTGGATTTAACTTCAAGATCTTATTTTAGGAAAATAAGTATCTTGGGAAACATGACACTTCAATCATTTTTTATAATGGTTCAACATACTGCACATACATTAAAATAGTTTAACATTAATGTATTTCCACTGAATAACCACATCTACTGTAGTTACTAGAAGCTTAATTATTAGTGAATGCACAAGTGGAACAATAAAGATGGAAAAGGTTCAAATATAAAGTAGTGAGTTAAAACAATTAAAAAAAAAAACAATAAAAATGTTAAAGGGCTGAGGTAAACGTCACACGTTTTAGCCACTCAATAGCTTCAGGGTCAGCAGAATGGAGCCTGGAAAGTCCTGTTGATAGACTAGCATGAGAAGAGCAGCCGTTCAGTAGCTATGCAGATGGCAGTTCCTGAGCCCCACCAGTCTTGTCTTATTAGTTAGATCAAAACTTGAAACTAAGCCTGGTAGAAAAATCAAAAAGGAGTGTGGCAAAAAAATTCAAAATGTTGAACTTGTTTTTCTTTCAAAATAGAACCATTTTTCCAATTTTTGTAAATGTTTCTATTTTGAAAGGAAAACAAGTTCAACATTTTGAATTTTTTTGCCACACTCCTTTTTGATTTTTCTACCAGGCTTAGTTTCAAGTTTTGATCTAACTAATAAGACAAGACTGGTGGGGCTCAGGAACTGCCATCTGCATAGCTACTGAACGTCTGCTCTTCTCATGCTAGTCTATCGGCAGGGCTTTCCAGGCTCCATTCTGCTGACCCCGGAGCTATTGAATGGCTAAAACGTGTGACGTTTATCTCAGCCCTTTAACATTTTTATTGTTTTTTTTTTTAATTGTTTTATCTCACTGCTTTATATTTGAACCTTTTCCATCTTTATTGTTCCACTTGT